TTGAACGCAGCGCGCGTCGTCTGAATTTTGGAGATGACGTCGCCGATGCCAAGCCCGGAGATGAGGTCTTCATTGCCGACGTAGACGGCGAGAACGTTGCCCGGGTGGCGCTTCGTGCCGTCGACGGCGGCCTGGAGGTCGTCGGCGAATGGCACACCACCGCGGATCCAGATGCCCGCGGCAATCTGGAGGTTGGCTTTAGCGGCCGCGTCAATGAGGTTGACCCTGCCTTCAACCGTCGTTTGGTATGTGCGCACGGAGCCAAACTTGGATTTGATGACGGCAAAGTGCTTGTCGACGCTCGAGACGGCTTGATACGAGTCGTAGCAGACACCGTTGAGGCCGCCGGCACCCGTGCGCGCAGCATCGGTCGTCGTGTCGGTACCGAGTCCGACAAGCGCCAAGGCGACGGCACCGACGACGGCGAAAGCCGACACGAGGATCGCGATTTTCTTCTTCTTGGGCGAGAGCGTCCACTTGGATACGACGGGTCCCGCCGTCGTGGGTGTGTTGAGAGCCTCCATGGGTCGTGTTCACAAATGACACGCTACCTGTGGAAGGTACTATTACTACAGTGTAAAGGAGGCTTCTTTCGCGCACTGTACCTCCTCACCGCCTGTCTGCAGTCGTCCATCGCCAGCGCTTTCATTGGCACCTCGGGGGCGTAATGCCATTCGTCACGTACATTGCGCCATAGGAAAGCCAAGTCGCTTTTCGCCACTTGGCGCAATGTATGGGAAGAAAAAGTATACACAGGTGTCAGTCACGCCGCAACGGCAACCAGCTGCAGCGGAAATGAGCTGTCTTTGACTCGTCGAGCGTTCGGGCGCGCCCACTATACGCGCATGCGCTTGGAGCGAGGTCTGTCGCGGGGGCCGCGAGCAGCAAAGCAGCAAAGGCACATTACTCGGGCCACTATGCCCACGTTTCGAGTGCACTAACATAAAAGGTGGGAGTGTCGGCCACCAACGCATCATTGTCGGTTTCCTCGTCGACGGATACACGCTGTGCTAGCAGCGTCTCACCAACATAACGCTCGCGAAGCGCTTTTCCGTTGTAGCAGTTGACCGCTCACGATTACCTGCGTCACTTGAAGCACATACTGTACGTCTCGCTCGTTTGCAAACAACGCAGTTTCTGGGCCAAACCGAGTGCTGGCGGTCATGAGTCGTCTACGCTCCCTACATCGGTGAGCGCAGAAAGACAGAGAGATGTCGCTGAGGAAACACGGGTAAATTGCTAAACCAGAGTGAAAGTTGGTGCTGGGTCATCAGTTACGACATGAAGACAAGAAATGAGCCAGCATCGAGGTGAATGGGCGGTAAAACCACGCTTCGGTCCCTCGTGCTGAAGGTGCTACCCAACAAGATGAACAGAAGGCGTGGACCCTGCATGACGAAGCACTGATTCCGGTTGTTAAATCGAGCTATTGGCTTGCATTCCGTTGCCGATTGTTGGACACCTAATGAACGTTGACATCTTTAACGACTGAGGTTGGTTAGATCAGTTCAAGCCGGTAAAGTCTATATCCATAACTTGCTAGTACGACGACCACAGTACGCGTGCGTCTAGCAAAAGAATCGCCAACGTCTGAGAGGATGGAGCAACATCTATCTTTGTGCCCCTCTAAATTTACGTTGTCGGCATCTTCCCTACGTAAATGTATGCGTAGGCATCCCAATCAATTGTGCAATTTAGTTTTGCCGGTCATGCGCGTGGTCCGCCCGCAAACTCGACAACTATCTCGTCGTCTCATCAGTTGCGCCACCGGTAGCATTGTCTTGATGATCCGAGTATGTTATATGGCGCAGCTATGCGACTACTGTCAGGCAGCTGATGGAGGAGGCGGTTGCCGAAACGTATCAACGGTTTGCGCTCGATGCTGTTCAATATATCCTACTACCCCCTACCCTGCCCCCTACCCGGTACCGGTATACTTGTGGATGTACTATTAATAGTACTGTTTAGGCGAACGTCTTGCTGGATTGTGCCCACAGCTAAAATCTGATTGTTTATATCGGCACCAGCGGTACCGTATGCGCAATCAAATGCTATCTATCTATCTATATATCTATCTATATATCTATCTATCTATCTATCTATCTATCTATCTATCTATCTATCTATCTATCTATCTATCTATCTACTAGTATCTATCTAATCAATTGATAACGGACTTGGCAAACACTTCGACAGCCGACGATTCTTTCCTGTTTACTAGGAACAAAATCCATTGCGAGGACTACGCGATAGTTTAATCAAACGCGTGTAGAGCTCGAGTGTAGACTGATCAGCCTTGTCCCTTTGCCGACTGGCTGGAATGCTGCTGTGCAAAGCTGTCGAGCAGTATTCGAACCATCGTGGGCGCTGTCGACGACGAATCTGCCGCGTCGTTCGACGCAAGGGTGCACTATTATGTACCCCTGGTTCGAAGAGGCAAAACTGTTTCTTCCAAAGAGATTATTGGGCCACATCAGTATTGGTAGTCTCTTGTCCGTGACCAATATTTCAATGTCAACGTCCAAAAAATGCTTGCCACCTACCTACCTAGTACACTCGTTGCGTCACTCGTACGTCGTTGAGTTGTGGCTGCTGCTTCGTCAAGACCTCTGCGCGTCGTCATGACGGGTACGATACCATATCAGAGGTGCGTCATGCGATCATTGGAAGGCAACCCGCACAGAAGGTAAGTGTTGTCCATCTGATTTTGCGCGCCATCAAAAGAAGATCGGACCAACGCTCTCCAAAATCTTCGAGGTCGTACTACTGTGTACTGCGAGGGACCGATCGTGCTTGCTGTGAGCGTGCGTCAGCGACACCGCATTTCTTGTTCGTTTGGCACCGCACGCAAACCGTGATAACCTCATGCGGCGCTGCCACGTGGTCTCGCTCCTTCGAACAGTGCGGTTCCACGTGGTGGCGTTCGAATGCGTTTTCAGCAGACCTCTTCTTGGGGTGATAGATGACGACATTGCTTCGTTCGGTGTAATGCCCCAACATGCTACTCTTCCCGTGCCGCAGCCGTCCCGCGGGCTGCTTCACGGCGACAAGAGTCTCAACTTGTACGGCTTCTTGTACCGCGTTGCAGCTGCAGGTTGGCGCCATGTTGCGTTGGTGGCTACAAATAGCATAGAACCAGATCTTTCGGCAGCAGCCGGTAGCGTGACCACTTGCCATCCATCTTGGCTGCGCTTATACGGGCCGACTCCATTCCACAGTAGAGGCGCTCATTCGGCTTCTTCCACTGTACACAGCAGTACCAGCATGATGGACATGGCGTACGTCGGGGGTACACAGCGCGTAGACAAGATCTTTGGCGAGCAGGCCCAGTCGCTCCGACCCAAGCCGCTGCGGCCCTCCACCGAGGCGCGTCTCGTGGAGCTCATGGAGAAGCGATCGTCCGACTTTATCAAGCTCATGCTCGATGGACCGTCGACCCTCCAGTTTGTGCGCGAGAAGCGAGGCGTTGCGCTCCTCGAAGGGCACAACCACAAGAGGCAGTACATGGTCAAGGCGACGACGACAGTGCAGGGCTCCGTCGAGGACATTCTCCTCTCGTTCCAGATGAACAACACGTGGGATTTTGACACGACGATGCACAAGTTCTTCGACTTGTACGCGAACAAGGGCGCGACGCTCTCAACGGTCGCGTCGCAGCCCATCGCGGTGCACTGGATGTCGCTCAACACGGACAAGATCGAGTCCCGCGACTTCGTGTTTGCTTCGCACGCGCGCTTTTACGAGCACACGGACGCCGGGCTCTGCCTCCTCCCGTTCACGTCGCGCTCGCACGCAACGTCCGGGTCGCTT